TTGCCCTTCTCGTCGCTTAATTCGAGCCCTGAGCGAGAGAGAGGGTCCGTTTGCCATGACTCGCCCGCGATGTCAACAAACGTAGTTGCGCAGCCTGTCTGCACGTTAAACTTGCTGCAGCCAATCAGCGCAGCCGCCAGCGATTGGGCATGCTGCCCGTTTGCCTGGTAGCATCCGAAGGAACATTTCGCATGTATATTTGAGGAATTTCTGTGATTTTAGTGCGTTCTGGCGGGCCGATTGTCAAAAATGGCGGGTGTAGCATTCTTCAGCGGTGTTCAGCAGTCTTCCGCGATTCCAACGATAGTTGGAAAGTGGCGTCACCTGCAGGAACACCGGAGTTGTAACTGATTGAAAACGGTGAGTTGTGGAAACTGCGGCGGCGAGTTAGGCACTATGTTGTTATAATAGTCAATGGCCACGTGTGTGCTGTACGTGCGGGCTTGTTCTTGCTGCCAGTGTATTGTACTACTACAAGTCTTGCAATTTTGTGTGCTGTAAATGGTAGTCGCAATCAGCCAGGGATAGGTGCAGTGTCATCATATTTTTATCGCAGTTTATCATACTTCTTATGTTATCATTGTGATATGTGCTGTTGCTAACTCACTGGTGTGTACATGACCGTGTGGCAGCTGTTAACAGTACAGGTCATATGTATCATAAGGAAGTGATAAACGTTTACTGTTGCTTGTGTGCTTAAGGAGTTGTTAACACTGTCATTTGAGTTTTGGCCTCAGAATTTAAGAAATTTATTGCACTGATGTCTACGTCATTGAAATTTGAGTGAGATGTGTTAGTAATATTGTTTAAAAGTTTGTAGTAACCAGATGAACATAGAAATGAACTGCCATTTAGATGTACTTGTATTTATCCTGGACTTGAAGTGAATTACATGACTAAGGTTAGATAGGAAAATATCTTTCATTCACTCTGTTTAATTTCTTCAAATCTATCTATAATTACCATATTTTGCTCTGCAAGAATGACTTGCTGTGTGAAAAATGATTTGCGTAGCAGATGTTGTCGTTAGATTTTTGCAGACAAGTTTATATTTCGTGCCGTGCCATTTCAGCAATCATTTAGCCGACCTGCGGCATCCCAGCTACACACAAATGTAGACGGAGTGAGGCGGCAAGCAGCCACCCCGAAGACAAGCAAGGTGCGTTGCGATCCATGTATATTCCTAATTATTATTACCGATAATTGCAATTGTTTAACCAGATACTCATTAGCTAGAAATTAATAAATGGATAATTTATTAATAATTAATAACGATATTAGTAAGTACTTATTACTAATTATTAATTATTATTTGCTATTGTCATTGTAAAGCTGTGGTATTGTAAATTTATACGACGTAAAGTTTAGTGATGTATGTTTTACAAGGGCTTTCTTACAAGGTTGAAATGAATTTTTGCACGACGATGGTAGACTACTCTGCGTAGGTCAGGACTATGGCACCATCATGCTATTTCACGACCGTGAAATGATAGGTTGTAAATGATGCGGTATGATTTATCCCGATGTCTCAATGGTAACATGGTCGTTGTTAATACAGTACACATGTATAATTTGTCCTTCTATGCTAGTATTAGGCCTTATATCTTACCTACACTAATATACCTTGCCTCCACTAATACACCGTACCTACACTGATACACCTTGCATATACTTAATTACACCTTACCTGAACTGATAGACCTTACATATACTTATACCTTACCTATACACAGTGTTTCCCCTGCATTGACACGAGCAAGGCGGGCCGGCCTCGCTCAAATTCTCAGCGACCACATAGAAATTTGTCCAAAACACCACCTCCGACGCTGTCGTAAATCAGTGTTCTTTCATAGAACAATGCTTATAATGCACCAAAATAGCTTAGAATGCACCAAATTGCACCATTTTTCCAGAAACTTTGCCCCCAGACCCCTCTAGCTGGGCGAGCACTTGCGGTCCTCGCTTTGCTAGGACCTCGAAACGTGCAAACACACCCAAAAAATTATCATCTCACAGATTTTTTCGGCCAGGGGAAACACTGTATATTAAACATATACTTCCACCTTATCTCAACAGATATACCTTACCTATACATACTTAAACCTTATCTACACTGATACATACACCTTACATAAAGTGATACATCTTACCTAGATACATATACTTACACTTTACCTCAACTGATACCTCGTCTAATTTCATACACCTCATCGTTACTCATCGTTACCTAAAGGCTAACCTATACCTATACCTACACAGGTCTATAGTTACCCCTTAAGTACCGATACGTATATATACTTGCACCGTACCTTGCTCCAGTGCTTCTTAAACTATTTCAGTGCCATTCACCCTCGAGTCTTTATCACAAAATTTCATTCACCCGTGTCTAAATTTCCTTATGTTTTTGGTAAGTTTAATTCACCCTAAAATAATTTTATTCACCCTTGAGTGAACGATTCACCAGTTTAAGAAGCATTGCCTTATGAATTCATATTTATCTTGTGTTAAATCCAAGAAATTAACTTAACTTAATTTCTTGGATTTAACACAAGATAAATATGAATTCATAGTTTTCAACGAAATCCAATGAACTTATTTTATTCTTAAGCATTGCCTTACTTTACTGTACGATGCTGCTGGCAGGCGGGCGGCGACTATGCCATCATCGACCACACATACGACGCAGTGGTTGTCGGAGCCGGTGGAGCGGGTCTGCGCGCTGGATTCGGCCTCGCATCCGAGGGCTACAAGACGGCGATCATCACCAAGCTGTTCCCCACGCGTTCGCACACGGTCGCCGCGCAGGTGAGTGCCGCAAGGGGGCACGAGTGGCGTGACCTTAGGGGGGCGTAGCGCGACCTTGCGCTAGTAGTACGTAACCTTGAGTGGCGTAGTAGAAGGGCAAGTCGTTGTCGGGGTGCTGACCGCTTGGCTGTGACTGCCGGTGAGGGTGCACGAGCGGGAGAGAAGCGCGGTAAAACAGCCCTCTGTATAATTTGTCACCGAGCTCGTTTTGGATAATTATCTCGCTGAAGTCCTACCGCGAGATAAAGCTAGTCGTTCGTTGCTAATTTTAGAGGTTAGTAATAGTAGTATCGAGTGATAAGCTTGTTGGGCCCATGTCAGGGTAGCGCTGTTGAGCTGTATCACTGCTGAGTTTCATCCTGTAGTGATCCGATTCAGAACTCCGCTACACGTTTAAGGTCAGCTTAAGGTCCTTACCTGCTAAAGCTCAGAGCTGTTAAAGGTTAGACTTTGGCTGGAGAGGAGGTCGTGCGTGGGAGCTGACAATCGAAAGTCGCGTAGTGCGATCTGTATCGGAACATGCACTATGCAGTGTATTGCGTGCAATTATTCATTAGTTATCGCTGTAAGCTGTTAGGGTGTGCAGCCGTGCGCAGCGGAATCGTAATTTGTGAAGGAAATGTGGCAGTATTCAGGGTTTACTTATCAAGGTCATCCTGAAAGCTCATCCAGGAAGACTCCCATTGTATCAGCTGGCTATATTCATGGCAGTATCGAGTGTTTTTATTCTTGTTTATCCGTTCTTGTGCTTCTGTTCTTGTTTCTGCAAGGAACATCATAAACATGTAACACAAACATTGTCAGCTCTGGTGTTGCGATGTAACCCTCAGTAGGAACGTGAGCATTATTGAGCAAGGTTTGCGTGCTGTACTATAAATGTCAAATGTCTTTTTTTCCAAAGTGTAACTGTACATGACATTTACAGCTCTCTGTCTCAGTTGCTGCTTGTGCTGCTGCAGCTGCAGCTAAGTTGGGAATGCTATATATGTGTGACGGTGTTTGTGCAACGTTTACGGATGTCTGTGTGTCTGATGGATGCCTGACTCAAACTTTTTTTTATTGTAGGGAGGAATCAATGCAGCACTGGGAAACATGGAACCAGATAATTGGCGATGGCACATGTAAGTGTTTGCCTCACACATGTAATTTTAGATGCTTGCCTCACACATGTAATTTACAATGTGTTTTAGCAACTATTTATAACCTTGTTGTTCCAGTGAACGTAATGTAAACATGTAAATGATATTTCAGTGAATAAATGTAAATGTGCTATGATCCCGATTGCCCTTTAACGTTCTCTTACCTACCATACCTGACATAGATGTGTGCATTAATAACTACCAAAATAAACAAATCACTTGAAAAAAATACAAAAAAATATTTTACCGGTAATTACTATTTTTTCGTAATAAAATTTGTTGTTATTTGTATGTCACTGTATATAGTAATTGCTTATTAGGTATGACACCGTAAAAGGATCTGACTGGCTGGGTGACCAGAACGCTATCCACTACATGTGTGAAGAAGCTCCAAAGGCTGTCATTGAGGTATGACTGTGTGCGCGTGCATGTGTGGGTGTGTGCGATTATGTGTGTGTGTGCGTGTGCATGTGTATATGTGTGTGCGTGTGCATGTGTATATGTGGGTGCGTGCGTGCAAATGAGCGAGCATGTGTACACCATAATGTTGCGTTGGTATTGCGTCAAGTGTGGCCTGACATGTTTGTTGAGAAAAGTATAGCGTCAGACCATTATATAAGACTAACTCAAGAATACTGGCAAGACGTCCATTACAGACGTGACCGTTAAGCTGGGTTTACACTATGGAAAATTCTACTCATGGAAAAAACGTGTCAAGTGTCCATTGCAGGCAGGCGTGTCTATGCTATAGCGGTGGTTTTGCTGTAGAAAAGCCACTCAAGATAAACAGAAAAATCTTCCTCTATAGCCATGCTACTAGAAAAGCCACTCAAGATAAACAGGAAAATCTTCCTCTATAGCCAGGCTACTAGAAAACCCACTCAAGATAAACAGGAAAACCTTCCTCTATAGCCAGGCTACTAGAAAAGCCACTCAAGATAAACAGGAAAACCTTCCTCTATAGCCAGGCTACTAGAAAAGCCACTC